TAGGGAGGAGCAATGCAATCACTCCCTTTATCTCACAGCTGTTGAAAATGTTAATATCAGCCTGTCATAAATTATATATATATATATATATGTGTGTGTGTGTGTGTGTGTGTGTGTATACCATTCAATCTTTAATATATATAGAGACATTTATGGGTTATTTTTAAAATGTATAAAATATATATTTATTTATATGTGCAAGTCTTCTTTTATTCCAAAAGTTGGTTTGTAACATTTTTACATTATATTTCATAAATGAGAAGTTAATGTTGAATAACGAAAACAATATAATTAAAACCAGAATGTAATCAATCTGTAGGGGGGAGGTTTTTACCTTTCCACTGCGGTGCAAAGACTTTTTTATTCTCTAAGAGGCGCCATTTCTCTATAAAATCAATCCGTTGATCATCTATTATTATCAAAATGTAACAATTTCTTTAGATCGTGTCGCCAGACATGTGAAGTGAATGGAAGCGGTTCCTACAAAGATCCTGAACATTCCGTCAGAGTCATCACTCTGTCCTTTAAATGTGCTAATCTGGAGACAATTACAGCGCATGCGCAAACGGAGTTGACTCCGTAGTGATTTTAACCTGATGGCCTACATTTCTATTCTTTTTTTAAAAACTACATAAAAGCTTATTGATGTATTGTACTGTTATCGCATTGAAGACACAGGAACACTTTGACAGAAAGATGTTCATCTATTATGGATCACAGTGGATCCAGGGTATTGCTGTGAATCCATTGAAATGAAGTGACCTACCTCTGTTTCTTTGCTCTGGTTAACCAGGTCGGTAGCAGCACTTTCTATCAGCTTCTCCAAAGCTCAGTTACATAAGGCGGCGCTGATCAGGCAGCCGGTCTGCGGTTCAGTCACTCTCATACCGGGATATCCCTTCCGATCAGGGTGGATCTGCATCTCCTCTCTACTCCTGCTGCATTGACAGCGCGATCCTCAACTCTACAGCGCTCAGAGAAACGAGGCAGAGCGATCAAGGAGCTGAGCCAGGTCACACCTCCTCCTCCTCCTCCTCCTCCTCATCAGCTCCGCCGTGTCATTTCTTCCACAGGATCGGAGGAGCTGCGCACATCCAGAGTCCCTGTTCTTCCCTCTTCTCCAAGGAAACTAGAGCTTTCTCTCTCTCTCTGTGGGGATTCCAGGTTGGAGAGTCAGTTTTCGTTTTCAAACCGAAATAAGGAGGTTATTACTGATCTAATCCCGCCCTCTTCACAAATAATTAACCCTACACTCAGCGACGCGCAGCTCCTGGTCTGCTTTGCGCGCAACAGATGCGTCCAAGAGATGCGACATTCCGTCACGCATGTAGGATAATCCGCCACGGATGGCAGAGCAACAAGAAACAGTAAACGTTTTATAAAATGGAAAACTTAATTTAGTCCAGTAATTGAAACTCATATACTGTAGCCATTCATAACAGTGAAATTGTTTATACATACTCATACAACTAATTTAAAAAAGCCTAGACCAGCGGTCTGCAACCTTTAATATCAAAAGAGCCATTTTGCATCTAGGCAAAGGCAATCCCTTACACTAAGCATGCTTGTAGCATGTCACAGCAAAAGAGGAAAAGACCAACTGAAGCTACTATTAGAAAAAGCAGAGAGACCATAGCGTTAGAGATTGAACTAACAAATTCTGCAGAGTGGGAGAATGGAGATAGAATGAAGCAGAATGAAAAAGGGATCCCTATGTCCTCCAGCAGCCTAAGCCTATAGCAGCATAACTATAGAAAGAGCTCAAGATAACCTGAGCTACTCTAATTAAAAGCTTTATCAAAAAGGAAAGTTTTAAGCCTACCCTTAAGTCATTTGCACTGATTCAAAGTTTTCTAAGGAAAACAAGTTGATTGCATCAACTCATTGACTCCAAGGCAATCCCTCACACTAAGCATGCTTGTAGCGACAGTGGAGAGGAAAAACTCCCCTTTAACAGGAAGAAACCTCCAGCAGAGCCAGCCTCAGTGTGAGCGGCCATCTGCCGAGGCCGACTGGGGTTCAAGGAGACAGAAGCAGAGATACAAAAAGATTAATTACATTAATTTAATTAAAAGTCCCTTAGATCCGCAAATTATTCTATGACTTTTTAATAAAACACAACCAAATATTTTTGTTAAAGTATCTGTAATAGGAAATGTGTCACAAAACTTTAGGTTGATTAGACTTTTTTTTAATATTCCCCCCTGCAGTTTTTTCCACTAATTGAAATGTCTTTAAATACTCATTAACATGAATTCAGCACACTATAGTAAACAGATAAATGGAGGCAGAAGATGTCTTTCAGTCATCAATACACACATTCAGCAACACACTGGAGCTCTTTCAAGCTGGGCACCATTTCATTCACAACACCTGTCCCATCAAAGAGGAATCAGAATCAGAAATACTTAAATAATCCCAGGGAGACATTTCTTTGTTACATTACTCCGTCTGTAATAGAGTGACTATAGGACCAGTTTGATAACACAATTTCATACAATATATATAATTAGGGGGCCCCTGCTCCATCTTACCATCCCACCTGGCCTAGTGGGTTAAAGCAGAGTGCTTGTGCTCTGAGAAGGTTCGATGCTGCCTCCACTCTAGGTTCTTGAGCAAGTCCTTTAACCCCCCGATTGCTCCCCGGGCGCCGCACATGGCAACCCACTGCGCCGCAAAGGGATGGGCTAAATGCAGAGGTAAATTTATGCAATGCAAGATCAATAAAGTTCAATTATTATTAAATTGCAAATAATTTACGGCTGATGCGAGTATTTTTAGTAGGCTGGTATTTGTTTTAAAAAACTTAATTGAAATTATGTTAATTTGGAGTTTTCATAAGCTATAATCATTAAGTTATAAAAAATGCATCAAGCAAACTTATTTGCATAAAACCTCAAGACAAATAGCAGCTTTTAAAACTTAGGACACCTGGATACCATATTAAGGCTTCCTCCATGGCAAAGTCTTAACAACTGGCCTTCAGATGTAAAACAGAAAGGAGCCAATAAGAAAGAATCCTAGAACTATTTGGCTTGTGAGAAAAGGAGCTTTAATGTCAGCAGCTAGGAACAAAGAGCACTGATATGGGGACAGTTTGTCATGGAAACCTCAGTGTCTGAAGGAAACAAAACAAGCATTCTGGTGTCGCAACTGTCAGGCAAACTTATTACTGCGTTATTCTGCTGGTTCCCTGAGAACGAATCAGTTTGATATTTTGCTTCAGTAATAAGAGTTGGTTTAGGCTGCAGTGTGGGAGGGAATCCAGCTTATATTTTTGGTCAAAACTGATCATTTAAGGAAATGTGGCTGTTGTGCAACCTTGGACGTGGGCGCTTGTGAGAGACGAAATCCTTGACCTGCTTCTGTTGTGCAGCAGGAGAAATCCCGGAAGAGCTGTATCAGGCCCAGTTCCTGCGGCCCCCTCAGGCGCATTGCTAGTCTTGGCATGTACTGATTGCTGCACATAACACAGTGGAGTACAAGGCTGGAGAGAAAAGGCAGTACTGACCCTCTTTTTAGGTTTTTGCTTATCAGCGATTTAAAATATTTGATCAACTTTGTTTTATGGGTTCAACAGGAATGAATGAAAACAAAACCCTAAAAATGTTTTATACGATATAATGAAGGAATATTTTAAAACCTCTGTCTCAAAATAAAAGTGCAAAACTCCCAAAGTTTGCTGAATAAAACATTGTTTATACAGTTGTTAACATACATAGTTACATACAAGTGTGATGAAAGTATAAATCATTTTATCGTTTTTTTTTTTTAAATATATAGAAAACAAACATGCATTAGAAAAAAGGGGGGAAAAAAAGAGACTTTGTGATAACTTGTCTTTCTCCCTTTGTGAACAGAAACCTGGCCCGCCAGGGATGCTTAGATGCCTCTCAAATTAATGCAGCCGTCAGAACTTTGTTTGGTGGCTTAAATCCCTTTTTTTCCCATTTAAAGAAAACTCAAATCTCTCTCTGACTCATCACACTTCCGATTTACAGCTCTAATCCTAATGGGTGATCTAAACCAGGCTGGAAGCAGTTTCAAAGCTCCATTCTTACCTTGCACGCCCTCCAAGAACCAGTCATTACTTAACCTTTTCCTTTTCAACACTGATTTAAATACTACAGTCTAGCACATACATCCGAGACAATTAACATCACTTAGTCGTGTCAAAGAATAACATCAAACGGCATAACATTCAGCCAATATATATTCTTTTTTTTACAGTGCAGTGCCCTGTATAAGTACTTATACCCCTTGCGCTTTTTTCACATATAGTCTCTTTTTGGCAAAGTGGTAATAAGATGGATATTGTTGAAAGGACACCATGAAGGAGTGGTTTGCACAAGCAAAACATCTGCTTGATCCGGTCACATGTGACCAAAATGTAACTGAAACCAAACACTGTTTATCATACTGCACACACCATCACAGTGAAACATAGTGGTGGCGACATTATGCTGCCGCCATGCTTTTCTTCAGTGGGACCATGGCAACGCAGGATTCCTCAAGGAAAAAATTGTTAGAGGCAACAAGATACTTAAGATGGGAGCAAAGGTTCACCCTTCAGCAGGACGTTGGACCAAAACATACAGACAGATCTGGAACAGAACGGATTAGATTAAAAGAAATACAAGTGTTATAAATGCCTGTTCAAATCCACAAACTAAGGATCTGTATCAGATTTAACTGTTTTGTAAAGAAGATTTAAGTTTCAGTCTCCAGATGTGGGAAGCCAATAGAAATACAAGACTTTCAGATGAATTTCAGCTGTAAAAGATGCTGTATTTCCTTCTTTTTTTCCTTTTTCAATTCCCAACTTTGTTTTGGCTTAAAACCCCAATATTCCAATTATCAAGATACCTTTTCAAATGTTGCAATGTAACAAATGCAGGTTGGGTTGTGTGAGAGTGAAGTGGCTACTCTTGAAAAAGTCGGTGTTGAAAAGTAGGTGTTAAAAGCACTAACACAAAGTATAACGACGTGTTTTCTCCAATAACCTGAAAAGGCAGGGATGTTCTGTTTATATTGGAGGAGACAAACATTTTGGTGTAAAATAAGTCAGTAAGTTCTTTTGATTGACACAAATACTTGTTGAAGTGTTAGAGCATTTGGTTTAAAGTGAAAAAATGAAAGTATGAGGAAGATTTTGTGAAGTCTTCAGATATTTAAACCAACACCAGTGGGCTGTTGGTGTCACATGTTCAGTAAAGGGATTTGCCAGATCATGATAGTGGAGGTGCTGTCCTCGTGGCGAGACTGTTTGGTCTTTTTGTTGACTCTGCGGTGGCCCAGGCCTCCAGACACAACTAGCAGAGAGCTGACTTCAACCTTGCTGGAGCGACGCCCCCTCTGGTGATGGGCGGGGTCATGAAGCAAGTCATACAAGGCCCCATCCTCTGGACCGTGCTCCAAGGAACCCTGGGAGGGAGCTAAGGATCCGCAGGAGGAGGAGGACAGAGAATCCTGAAGAGCCATGGTGGTACAGCCCGCCTCGCCCAGCCACACCCCGCGTCCCAGAGGAGGACTGGAGGCTGCATCTGGGACAGGCTGGACGCTCTCTGCATCCGCAGACTCCATCTGCTTGGATGAAGGGGAAGAGGTGGAGGGTGGGAGGGTAGATGACCAGTTACGCACCGCCGTTGCCATAGTGAGGAACTTGACGGGCCCATTGTGTGCATGTAATGACACCATCCCTCGACCTAAAGTAAAGGTAAAAAAACAAAAACACGTTAATTAACAAGCATTAAATTACACTTAACCATGTGGCATATGACAAATATATAAAGGCAATCAAAAACAAGTGGGCAAAAAAAAAAAAAACCTACCAAAACAAAAAAAAAAAAAAAAACCTACCAAAACCTACAATGCACTGAGGACCACCCTGATTACTATTTTCTTTGTTAGTTATTTGGGTCAATGAAGATGCAAGCAGCCTAATTTACTGTTTCAGATGCTTGGTGGGGATTTGCAGGTTCTTGATGGTGATGAAACTATGTGGCACTATTTCCAATCCCTGTTCCAGTTCATTTGTACTAAAGCTGCCCCTTCAATGATTTAGGGGATTACAGTAGAAAAGCTGATTTTTCTAACAGTGGGGGGTAAAATGAATTGGGGGTTCAAAACATCAAGTCCTGTAAATGCAAAGCTTCTCTGAAAACTGCAGCAACATTGTTGATAACGATTAACCCACATTCTACTGGCTCTCTTATTTCTTTATCATATCTAAAATGGTTTATGAGGCGAAGCACTTTGACAAAGAAGAAACAGATCAAAAACATCCCAAAACCTCCACCGTGCTTTACAGTAGGCAATGGGAGCTTTTATTTATATACTAAAAAAACCCAACTAATTCTTATCATTTGTTTCCTGCACATGGTTCCAGTTAAAGTCCCATTAGCAAGAGGAAAACTCCACATGTTTATGTTTGATCACTGAGGACAGAAAGGCTTTTTTCCAGGCATGTATCTCAAACAACCAGTTTAGCGTAGATAGTGTCTAATGGTTGGAGAGCAAAGCTTGATGCATCCACCCTTATGCGTGGAGGCAAAATTAACATCAGTCCTCATCCAGGCTAGTTGCTGATGGCAACCAGGCTGAAGTTGCTTTTTTGTGTTTTGTTTCAATGCCAGGGACGGAGAAATAGATGGATTATTATTATGAAGTTTCAAGTCTCATTGAACCAAGGGCTTTAGTGAGATTGATTTAGTAGAAATTGTTGGGCATGTCAATGTGTTGGACAGGTGACATTTTCCAACCGAATAAATGTCAGTGTATTAAAGTCAGAATTCATTCAAAGCATCAGTGTTAGGTGCAGACACTGCAGTAAAGTTCATTGTCAACTAGAGCTTTTTAAACATCTTTAAAAATGAAACTTAGAGCTGGTGCAACACAAAGAATTATCTATAACTTAAATATTATCTCATCAAAAATCATGATTAAGATCTTTGATTTCTCCAGAGTCAAATCTAATCCCCTTTATTTCTGTTACCTGTTACTTTGGGGATCCCCTGTAGTCTGGGGACAGACAAAGCCACAGTCACTCCCAAGTTAGTCCCCACTAGCAGCAAACCGTGGCTAACCAGCAGACTGCTCACAGAGACTCTCTGGTTTCCTGCAGAAAAAGCAAAACAGTTTTTTTCTTATATTAATCAAGGTGTTCTCAAGAATAAATCCAGTGGTATTTTGCATATAAAGAAGCAAGGCTTTGGCAAACACATGCTCCCACGCAGTGTCTCCTGGAAATTACAAAAAAAAAGCATAGTTAATGGCTCACTTCCCCAGAAAGGGAGGGATATGCTTTGTTTTAGTATGTGGCAACATTTTCTGCAGCCATGATGTTCAAAGCTTGCTTGTCTCCAGGGCAACGTGAAGAGGAGCGAGGATAAAAGCAGCCCTTTTCAAATGCCTGAACAAAGAGAAAATGCAGCACTACAGCCAGCTTTGAGACAAGCAAACAACACAGAAAGTGTTATGTAACAAGCTGAGTGGAGCGTAATGCTGTAATTAAGGAAGAAGCTCTGCCGCTATTCAGGAAACTTATGGCTATTACAGCAGGACAAGCTAACATGACCTTTTCCTTTCTCCTCTGTTCAGAAAAATCACTGAAGCCTGTTCAGACTGTAAAAGCTCCGATTGTTAAGTAAAAGACTCTTTTCAGTAAGGATGGTGATAAAATCCGGCTGCTGGCAAACCTTTTAGATACATGCCACTTCGGCCATGCAATAAAATCTTTCATGGAGGTTTTGCAATGAACCAGCTATGCTAATATGAACCCGTTAGTAGCTGAATATTTTTAGCACATTTGATGCTGCAAAATGCATTTTACATTTTGCTAAAAAAAAGCTTTTCGGGGCCCGCTTTGTGGGAGGCCAGACTGCCATGAGTCATTACTGCTGTAACAGCTTGACTTGAATTTCCTCCCTCTAAGTAATCCTCTTGGGTTTTCTGAAAAAATTACTGCCGGTCTATGTGCCTAACCCCCCACCCCCTTCACTAGAGCTGACCCCATGCATGGGGCACACACGCCAGGCTGCCTTAGTTCTTAAATTCCTGCCAGATAGGCAGGCTGGTACAGTTTAACACAAACGTCTTGCCCACATGTGCTTCTAATGAGGGCTGAGAGTCGGGATAAAAAAAACACAAAGTCCTGGTCAGAGGCCTTGCTTAACTTAACTTCCTCCCTTCATAATATTTGGAGTTCCCCACCCAGAGGGTGAACTAAAATAAACCCTATGAGAGCATCAACATGGCCCGACTCGGACCCAGATTCTACAGGAGGGAACCTCTTTGATCCTGACAAAAAGTAGCAGGAGGGAGGGGTAGATTTCAAAAATTACAGAAACACTCCATCAGCCATTCAGTCAGTCCAGAAATACCTCAGATCAGCACATTGTGATTAATTGCCTATTGATGTAGCCATGACCCAAAAGCTTTTCCTGCAGATGAAGACAGAAATGCTGGGTTATTTCTTTTACCCCAAATCATTAGATGTATGCCGGTGGGAATACAGCATGAGAGGGTTTAACCAGAGAGTTGGGAATAGAGTATAAGAGGGTTACTAACTGTTTTATTATAGGATGCAATTAGCCTCAACACTAACTTGTAGCCCAATTGTACCAGCTGTCATTCATCCAATTCTGTTTTAATTTTTTTCATCTTCAATATATGCATTAATTATGTGTATTTCTTATCCAAACAATGGGAAAAGAGGGAGATTTGTCTTATAATAAATAATATAATTAATATTTTAGTTGACGACTATTTAGGGGAATACTGTATCATGTAAAATTCATGTTATTAGTTTTCAAAAATAATTCTAAAAAAAAGAGACTATATATATATTTTTTAAGTTGTTTAGAAAATCCATATTTCTGAATGAGATTTCATTCATTTTCAGAGAAAAATAAATACAATAAATGGAAAACACTGCGGACAATGAGTGCATAGTACCGCAAATTATATATTGACTCATCAGTTATTAAGAAATGATGAATCCTACTGCTTGGTAATTATAAGACTCATGTTCGAAGCATTTTTAACAAGAAACAACTTGGCTTAATCACTATTATCAGTTTTAAGTGATGTTACAGCTCTCTATATAGGGTTGTATCCACTGTCTTTCCAGCACTATTCCACTCTTTTCATTGTTTTTTTTATTTCAAATCAGTGAATGTTGTTTTCTGGCCAACAATAATCACATCTGGTTCAAGTTGCCTGTACTATTACTGGTAAAAAAAACAACAACAAAGAAACATGAAGGAAGATTATCTACCAGCCCACTGATAAGGTGCCTTTAGACCATGCATGGCTGCATATTTAGGTCACAAAACATGAGACAAAGGAAGCCCCTTACCACTGCAGCCAGTCGACCTTTCCCTTGAGACATGATCAAAGAGCAACCAGCTCTTATATTAAACTAAAACCTTTAGTTTTGGGGGAAAGTCTTAAAAGCATTATTCCTAAACTGACTGTGATAAATAAACCTCCCTCTTTTCTGTAATGGCATGGTTATCTTGATGCAGTGCACTGATTTAGGTTTTCAGAGGCACCAAATGATTTCTATTACAGTTTATTAGGCATCTGCGGGCATGTTGCCTGGATAAGGAAGCTCTGTCTGCAAAGGAGGGAGTTGGCAGAACTGCTTGGACGTGCTTGAACACGAGAAGGATAACTCCACCTAGAGCACCTCCTTGATTCAACACTGCACCATTGATAAAGGCAGACAGACTGAGGAAAACACCCCATGGATTTTTTTTTTTACTTTGGTTGAAATAATATTGCTGAATCAGCAGTGGTCTTGGCTGTGCTGATGAGCCATAATTACATTAAGACTTTGTACACACTGGACAATCCTACCTCAGTGTAATGTAATTCCTTGCTATCTTCTTTATAAACAGATTATGTTATTCTGCCTCTGTGAATAAACATCAATACAGTGCAGAACTGCAGGGGAACTGGCCATCATTCATTTCTTCTAACACACAGATTAGAGTCAATCCATCTAGTCTAGTTTGGCTCTTAAACCCGGTTACGTCAGATTTTGTGCAGAAGCGGCCGAGTTTTTGCTCTTTTCCCCAGCATCCTGCCACACAACAAAAATAATAAAAAATGACAAAAACACTAAAGCAGGCAAGAGTTAACAATACCTTTTTGGGAAAACTTCCAGAATTTAGTTTCTGCAGCTACACATTGCAAACAAAACCCTTTAATCTTCCATGCAGACTTACTGTCTCTGATCTGAATATCAATATCAGAGGAAATGAGCTATTAATGGCACTGCAGAGAAGATGAACGCTTTCATGTGTTTGGTTTGTCCTAGAAGCAGCTTCCTCTGTGGTTGCATGGATTCTATTAACTCATAAAGATGGTGAGGTCCCACAGCAGATCGCTTCTATCACCTTCCTCTGTCAGACAAAGAGCACTTTCACTGCTTATTTTAAGCAGTGGATATCATATGGAGGCAAACACATCTACTTTATGGAGAGTGTCAGCTCCTACATCTTTACTGGGATTTACACTTTTCCTTTATCCCTTGATCTTTTAAAGTTACTTTATAAGTGTATTGTGTTGTGGGCTAAAGCCAAAAATCAAACAGATACAAGCTTGGATTGGACATCCTTTAGGGAGCTCTGCAATAAATTCAATCTGGCAATAAGTAATTCAAAGTTTTATATATATTATTCAAAAATCTTCAAGAATCAAAACCACTTAACATTCTAAAAAGCAATGAGGTCAGAAGTTCTAAAAAAAGGTAGTGATTAAAGACTTCATATCCAGAATTAAAGAAGAAAAAACATGAGTTGAGTGCTTCTTATCCCAAATAGGATTAAATCTATTAATATTAGGCTAATAAATGAATACCTGAGTCAGGTCACAGTTATGTTCACGTTCAGTTTAAAACAACTTAAGTACATAAAGTTTTACCTATCTTAATCAAGGAGTATTAAACGCTCCTTGAATTCGCTGTATCCACAGCTTAGCAATGAATTTGAAAGGTCAAGCAATTCTCCAATACTGCTTTCTTAAATTGTTGCAGGTCTTAATCAGTTTGTAATGCTAAAGAAAAGTTTTATAACCCTAAATTAAACTATTTGAGCTAATCTATTCAGGGTTTGACAATTTGATCAAAAAATAAAACTGAAAACAGATTTTTTCCCTTTCAGCGAAAAGGGAATTTATGACTTTCTCTTCGCTCAGCTTTGCTGCGCTCCAGTTCCGCCTGAAAAAAGTGAGGGAAAAGGACGATGTGCCTACTTTCCCAAAATTACATCACTTCACTGGTAAAGTGTGACATCGCCTCTGGTCCCTATCTCAATAATTAAAGATCAGCTGTAACTAAAAGGCTTCTTAGGCCTTGTGTATTAATAATAAAAGCATAAATAACTTAAAAACAATATGGAATCGGTCTGTTTGATGTCAGGAATGAATCAGGACCAGGAATTTAGTTTGATTGGATTCTGTAAAAAAAAAAAAAAAAAGAAAAAAAGGACACTAGCTTGTGATTTGTCACATTTCCATAATTTCAGATTAAAAAGAAAAAAAATACATTTAGAGATATATAATCTAGCCAATGTGTTATTAGATTGTTTGTCCAATAATTTTGAGTTTTTTACAGTTCTGTATTTAAGTGGATTCCAAATTGCTACCCATAAAACCAGCAATACAGTTTGGCATTGCTGGGCATTATATCACCGTGACCAAAAGGTCATGCTGCAGATTATGGGTTTTGGCAGGAAGATTTGATTTGAACTTAATGATTAAGCTTACAATCAAAATGAATACAGCATTGTGTCTTCTTAGGAAACTTCATAAAGTTGTTTTGGTAGAACTCACAATGTTTTAGCACAACCTGGAAAGCTTCCTTTAAAGTGAATTTAACTTGTGTGTTCTTCTTTTAGGCCGTCAAATAAATATTTGCTCTCCACTATAAAACTCACCTGGATTCACATTTTCTATGAGCCATGGTTCATTTACCTCACCCTGCCAGGGCAGTGCAAATAGCGCAGCTACTTAGTGACAGGTTTACAGCTGCACTGCCTTACACAGACTGAGAGGTTAGCCATTTTATCAGAACGGTTTAAAGTAAAGGAAACTGTTCATCAAAAAGAAAAAAGAAACTAATATTTCTAGCACTTTCTGCTAAGAGTAATCATTAGTGAAGGTAAAAAAAAAACAACTTCAGGAATGAAACCATTTTTCTATCTGGTTACTTACAAAGGTGCCTTCAAAATTAGCTTTCAATAAAAAAGTGAAGTAAAGAATGAAAGCCTGTTTCCCAGAGTAGCTATACAGGATTGTCTTTTATATCAATATATAAATGATATATCAATATCATTTACTGTTGCAGATAAGACTGACATATTGCAAAGAAGCAGTGGAGTAAATGTCCTGTACTGTACCTATTTTTTCAAGTCAGGAGACTTGACCAAAGTGCTTTACACTACATTCAGTTATTCAGCCATTCACACACTGATGGTGGCAAGCTACATTGTAGCCACAGTTGCCCTGGGGCTCACTGACAGAAGCAAGGCTGCCGTACTCTGGCGCCACCGAGGCCCTCTGACCACCATCAGAGTGATTAATGTTGTGATAAACAATGAGACAAAATCTTCAAATCCAATAAAGGTCTCTCTTCAGAGCAGCAATTCCTTGTTTATTTCTTATATATACTGGTGAGAAATGCAAACACTGTTCGGTATCAGAGTAAAGCAATCCAATAAAAACAGTTGGATTCTAACACGTTTACTTTAGCACTACCTGCTAGAGAGACATTTATGGAGTTATGAGTTTATTCAGGTAAATGAAAATATCTGGTTTCTGTGGTAAACTTGGCAACATGGTAAATAATAAAACAGTTTGAAGCAGTATTACATAAGGATCACTTAAACCAGGGAAATAGCTGATCGTTTAATCAACTGTACATGTTTGTCAGCAAACGTTAAGCATAGGATGAAGAAATCCTTCAAACTTATATTTCCAAGAACAAAAACAATATATTTGCAATAATTGAAAACTACAGTTCCCTTCAGTCAATTAACTCAGTTCAACACATGAGTATGGGCTATTAGGTCCCGACTGAAGGTACCTCTAATCTAATCGCCTCCAAGGCGAATGACGTGATGACAATGACTGATAGTCACTCCTCACGCTATATATCCTGCTGTGTATAGCGTGTTTTTCAAACATGGGTCGACCCGCTAACAACTGGCATTTTGCTCCCTTCCCATTGGCAAAAAAGCTGGTTCTAAGCCTTGCTGGCAAGTTGCATGACCCCTGTCCCCCTTCAGCTGTGTATCTGGTGACACCATCACGCTGGGATAGCTTTGACGATGTCACCAGTGCGACAGAAATCAGTGGACAATGGAGAGCAACATGTAAGGAAGCCAGGGTGTAGTAAGAAAGCTTTATCGTCTCGCTCTATTATCTCTCTGAATTCCACTCACCAGTTCTGCACCATGTTTACTGAATGTAAAGCTCTTTTAGCTTGTTACATCAGAAGCGACTGGCGCGATGTGCTGACGTCCGTACGTCGCGTTTATTGATGTCACGTAATTTAGCGGGTCAACCCGGCTCTGGTGTTCCCACAGAATGCTGATCGGAGCCGAGGCGATTTTAACACGGGTCGCTTGCCAAGTCGTTTGACCCGGGTAGACAGACGCCAATGAGCTGTTTCCACTGCTACTAAAAGCCGATTGTTCGCAGGTTTAAATGGGTTTTTCAGCCACTGGAGAAGGGTTATACTGTAAATCAGGCTAGCTGCTGGTTAGCCCTGTATTTTTTTCTTAAAAGACTTCTTTAAATTTAGTGTAACAGCTTTTGATGATATCACCTGCTGCCACCTGCTGGTAGGCATGTCTATACACTAAGCGCTAATTTCCACCAGCTTTGTGGTTTGGCAGAAGTCTTCTACTTGTTGGGTTATTGTGTTCCGTCTCCAGCTTCATCGTTTAACCTTGGAGGAGCGGTGGGCCAGCGTCCCTTTCATCCTAACATTTTAGGTTCTCTACTGCTCAGTTGGAGATCAATTTTACAAGTGCAGGTACCCACTGCTCATGCCTTAAACTCCATTATGACACTCCCAGCTAACCTGCAGTGTGCCTGGCAGCTTTAAGGTTTCGACACTGCAAACTAAGGGCTTTTTATTTTCCACAGCTGCTGTTTCTGCCTGCCATGTTGGTTTTAATGGAGCTACACCAGGTGCTCATCCTCAGGGTGTGTGCTTCTTAGAAGATGTTCCTTGACTCAAAGTAGTGATTAAACCCAGTTTCCCATCCTGGGATCTCAGGGTAATACTTGATGCTCTATGTGACCATCCAATCAATATGAGGAATACCTTTCATAGGTACGAGAGGGTTTAAATCCTTACCTGGTAGAATATTGTTAACGGTTGTGGCAATGTTAATGTCCTGCAGGTGCTCCAATGTCTCAGTGTGAAAGAGGCGCAGAGTAGAACCGGAGCTGAATGCGATCCAGATGCCCACCCCTGCCACCACCATGTGAGACACCACCATGCCCTCTTCTTGGTGGGCCTCCAGCTGCCTCTGCATCAGCAAGGTAAAACAAGACAATACTGTTTTCACCTTCCAAGCTTCACATCAAGTTTAGACTGAATAATCTTTTATTTCCGATAAATTCAAAAGAGTACTGATTTGTGTACTTTTCACCTACCATGGCTAGAAATTTCTCATGTTATGAATTACAAATATGTAGTCAGATTGAATGGAAATTTAGCTCTTTAGACAAATAAGAAATCTTCATAATTTATATGATCAGAACATACATCTGAATGATAAAAGAACATCACAGGTTTAATTCATATTCATCTAAATGAAAAAATATACATATTGTAAATAAAAGTTTCTCTGCTGTTGGTTCTTTGCAAAAATCCTCTTTAACCAATAGGGCAGCATTTGAAGGGTCCTTTTTTATCTGTTTTTGAGATGGCTGTTCATGTTCATTAGAAAAGTCTTCATTAAATCTCCTCAAAGCAGCTTTTTATTCTGTCTAGCACGTGAAAACTGCTATATTCAAAGAAGTATTACTTGCCCATAAGGTTTCTTTGAGATGTACTGAACAGATGAGTTAGCTCCTTTGTGTTGGGTCACCCTTTTTTGTAGCTGTTTTTCAGATTCTTCAGTGCATGGCTTTGATGGTTTTAGGTTTGGAAGGAACCAAAGAGTATGAGGGCTCAAACTAAATTTAAACTTAAATATTGGATGTGGCACTAAATCTGGACTGGGTAAAGTTAAAAGGTTTGAAATACTAAATAAGGTTAAACATTGTGCTGTGAAAACCAAGATGTGATTAATATCACCTCTGTGAAAACCATCCGCCATGACTGCCACAGCTCAACCAATCTGCTTTGACCCACAATGACTAATGGGAAATTGTGGGTCACAGACCAACAAGCTCTGCTGTTATGCTGGGGCAAAAATATTTTGGTTTGGGAATTGAAACAGCTTTGAAAGCAGACCAACGGATAGATTTTTTTAATATAATGTTAATAAAGATTGCATGAAATGCACTCTAAAGTAGGAGAGATGGGTCAGCAGGATCCCGAATCTGTGCCTGTTCTTCCCAGTGGACATAAGGTGCCATTCCACAAATTCATCCTTGTTTAGGCTCAAATAGTGTTTGATGTAGAAGAGCTTGTTCTTAAAAAAGGCTCTTCCTGCTCACCATGCATTGAAGCTAGATAAATACAGTTCAATTAAAAAAAGTAAGCTATCAATAAAAATTATACAGTAATATAACAGTGATATTAAATAGGACTTTTAGAGACCGTAATGACCATAGCTCTAATGAATTTGTAATAAACAATATTTTTTTGATTGAACCCCAGTCAGCCTCAGCAGATGGCCGCTCACACTGGGCCTGGTTCAGCTGGGGGTTTCTTCCTGTTAAAATTGAGTTTTTCCTCTCCACTGTCGCCGCAAGCATGTTTACTGTGAGGGATTGCCTTCAAGTCAATACAGTAAGTTGATGCAAGGAACTTAGATAGAAAACTTTGAATCAACTTGACTGTATGATCTGGTTGATTTGTAAAGTGCCTTGAGATGACATACATAAATAAACTGAATTAAATATCTCTCATCCCGTAATGTTTTTAAGCTGTAAATTATTTTTTAAGGTGAGTTTGAGCTCCTAGACTAGTGATTCATTTGTCGTCAGGTTTTCTTTCCCAGGGATGTAATAAATCTGAGAGGTGCTGTAAGTGTGGGGGTGTTTGCAGGCCATCTCCTGTACTGCCACTTGTTGACTGTGGATGATGAACAACCTGCAACCCACTGAAACCTTGATTACACTGCTTCCCTCCTTGGAACATAAGTGCTGGTTATATCTGCGCAGATATTTGCTTTGGAGACGAAATACAAAAAATATAGATATATATTTTGATAAAATGATTTGGAAAGACCAGATGGTGGATTTATTTTAGGTACATCACATTTCATTACCCAAATCATTACAGATAATGTTACATAATTCTGTCTTTGTGCATAAAAAAATCTGTAGTAATGTTAAGCATGACCACATAATCTGAAATACTGCTTAACATGTGGGTGGATTCAGTCTTGGCAATAAAGAAGCTATTCAAATGAATTTTACAGCAGGAGTTTAGTAAATTATGTTAAACCTGGATGTCCTACATTTTGGTTTCCCAAACAAAAAAAAAAACAGTTCAACAGAGAAATATTGAGACTTTTTCTCTCCCCTTGTGTTTGGTCCTCCTTTCTGTCTGACTTTTAATTACTACTCTGGACTAGCTGTAAATCCTGTGTGAAGCAAAGAGAGCTAACAAGCAGGTGGTCCAACATAATGAGCTTAATGAGCCTAAACCCATTATAAGTGAGCGCATGTCACAGGAACGTTACTATTCTTGGATCGGCAACAGGTGTTCCCATTCCCCAAACAGCCCAACGCCTGCATTCAAATCATAGTTAAGGAAAAATGTAAAAAGGAAAATGGACAGCTTAACTGGTATAGGGTTTCTTCCTTTTGAAGTGTTTGTGTTATGGCTGGATTACTGTCTGTTCAACATAAGTTGAGTAGGAGAAATGAACAGCTAAGCAAAAAAATCAAATCGATATTTAATAAAGTGGTTTACATACCTCAACACAATGTGTGTGGGTGCTGATGATAAAAATTTGTCCTCCTGATGAGGCCCAGAGTTGATCCTCCACAGCCAGCACCGCTTTAATTGGAAGGACTCCTAGCTTCAGTAACCTGGGCGTCTCACAGCACCAGGAACCATCTGAGAGAGCAAATCAGAACATTTATTCCATGTGTACAAAATATAAACCACAACACAGATAAGAACAGATAAGAACTCTTAGAAGATCTCAGACTGGACATTAAAAAGTAAACATTTTGCCAAATCTTTTCTCCGTTTAAGATGAGAGGACTTCTCGGACAAAACTACTAGATTTTTGATGCAGATGTTCAAGAAGAAATTAGGTTTTAGAACTTAAGTCTTCCACACATCATAAAACCATTTAAGTCAATTATTGTAAAAGCAAAAAGTGTGACAATACATCAGTAAGTCATATAAAAATATAGTGTGTTGCTGTTATATTCCAACCAATCAGATTCAAGATTCTTTTTTTTTTTTTTTAGCAATACCTAAGCATAGGTAATATGAGACAGAAAAATAATTCATTTTGATATAATGTATTAAAATCATAATTGAGGTTTTAACATTTTATAATTTGTTTTATCTTAAATACCCTTTTTAAATATTCATTATTCAATGTAAAATATATCATCCAAGTATTATCAGAATTGGTCCACTTTTGGGCATAAAAAGCAGACATTTGATTTATGGACATTTCACTGCTTTCTGCTCCCTGAGCATGAGCAGCTCTGTTTTTGGTTTTCATCTATCAAAATTATGCAAATCTTAATTTGAGTACAAATATCACATAAACCAAAATATAATATATGCAAAAAAAAATTTTTGTTGTTGAGAAAAGTAAGAAAAAAAATACAGACTAACTAATTCATTGTTTTGGCAACTAAAACAAATCTATTTTAAAGACCACAGATCAAGTAAAAAAAAAAAAAAGATCCAAGATGCTAGAAAGGTAACCATTTTAAATTATGGAATTTCTACAGAGGGAATTTTTTAAATAAATTTCTACGTTCTGGTGAAGATCCTCAGTCATCCAGGTCATAGTCCTTCCAAAAAAGTTAACAAACAAAGGACCAGAGTATCAGAATGTTCACATTTTGGACAAAGAAGGCAGGTGGTTTGAAAGGAGCGTGAAGGAAGCCATTAATGTTAAGAAAGAAAAAAACAACCTTAAACAGAGGGGGTAGACTCAGATTTTAGCTTTCAAAAACTTACAATGCAGCGATAGAGTTGATTCCTTCCTGCTATCATCTCAACTCCCCAACCCCATGCAGGGGACCAAAACATCTCGCCAGGTCAGTCAGGCCAACAATTCCCCCTAAGGACCCCCCTTTCAGAGGCATGTTAGCCTGCATATAGTATTGCAGGCTAACAAAGAACCTAAACGACTCCCCATTCCAGCAAAGCTGACCTGTTCTTCTGGTTCAATTTGCATGTTTTCTAAGCCAAACCAAGGCTACTCTACAAAGCCTCAAACTCACCGCTAATTCTGACATATTTAATTCCTGGATGAGAAGCGAAACATCTTCAAACTTGGAAACAAATTCCAGTGGATTGTTTTTTTTTAAACTTTTTTTGGAACAATTTTCATGTTATTCACAACATTTAAAGACAGTATAGGAACCTCATCTTCAAACAGCACTCATCTATGATGCAAGTATGAAATTAATTGGTTAGGTAAGCACAGTTCAGACACAGCAGAGCAACAACCCATCCATCTTGATAAATGTCAGCTGTAGGGGTTACCTGCATTTATAACTCTTCTAATGGTTGATAAGTGGCCATTAATGGTTTTCACAGTGCTTCACTATGAATATAGATGGACTGCTGAGTGTTAGTCAGAGCCAAGCTGTATCCCACATACACCTCCTACACACTCCCTTCTGCATGTGCCTGGTTACAGAGCAGGCCCGGCTGCAATAAAAACACCCCGCTGCCTGCAGGAGCTTTATAAATATCAACGATTCTGCAACTAGTGCGTGCACTTGAGAATTAAGTCATAAAACGGCAAGAAAGTAAACAAAAAGGATGCCGATCACATTCCTAAAGCTATATAGAACAGGAGGTGAATAAAACTTCAAGGATAATATTTGGTTTAATGAAGATACAAGAATGTTATCAACATGTGTGTTTTGTAAAGGTATGGAAATTAATAAACATATTCGGCAAGATTTGCACCACTTAAATTTTCTGTGTAAACATGATTGGAAGAACGGCACTGTTAAGGTGAATGTACAGTTTGGAAAGAAATGTTGCAAAGAAAAGCGAAGCAGACAGAAGTGCCAGCTTGCAGGCTTACATAAGTCCTCTCTGCTACATCTGCCCACATCTTTTACTTACTGAACTGTTGCATTCCCTCATGTCACTGTCAGCCACACAAACAAAGAAAAAAAATCTCCAGGACTGAGTGCGAGCACACGAAAAACAACAAACATAGACTAAAAGCTAAAGCAATGAGGCTCATTATTATTATTATCCTTATTTCTGGGAAAATAAGATATTAAAGGCTGACTGGATGGAAGAAAATGAGCTCATGTTAGGAGTCTCTGAGTGTGATGTGCGAGCGATGCTGAATCATTGGCTCCCCCCTTTTCAATGTCTCAAACACACGTTCACTTTGGAAACGGCAAGCTTGGCAGAATGAGGCTGCCAGCTTCAGAAACACTGCATCAACAACAGAGTCACATTTCTCATGCAGCATCAGAAACTCTGCACTGTAGGCTGTAGACACCCAGTCTGTTCTGACGATACCTTTAAGGATTGTGCTCGATTCTCCTTAAACCTTAAATATTTACAGCATGAATCAATTTTAGCATTAAGCATCATTCTCCAGACATAGTGGGAACATTTTTAACTGGTTGAATTTAAAAATGTTCAGGACTCATCTAAAAACATTCCAGAACGGTTGCACACACTGATCATTTCTGCCAAGTGCAGCTGGACAGAAAAAAAAATGAAGACAGGAAAACTCTTCTATTGTTTTTCTATTTTTTCCAGCAAGAAAACATCCATCTTTTTTCATACATTAATCAACTCAAACCATTTTGATCATCCATCTTTAAACTTTTCTGCATTTATCAAGTTACAACCAAAGATTTTAATGCATTTGATCAGGATTTCATGAGGTAAAACATCTCCAAAAAGCCATAACTGTGAGATAAAGTTTTCAATTTTCTTCCGTTTTCAGTTAGTTTTCTTCTAACATCGGGACTGAACATAAATGTATATTTAATTTCTCCAATACTTTTTTTTCCCCAAAAAAGATTTCAATGTCAATTTTTTTCTTTAGAAGTGAACTAAATTAGGGAGAGTCAGAGGTCAGAGCTTCAGAGGATTGGACATTAGTTAACAAAACAGCAGCATGAAGACAAAGGAACAAAGCAAATTGAACATAAATTTAGAAGTAAAGCAGCTTAAAGATGGGTAAGGTTAGAAATTACCTCCTGACTTTAAAACATCTTACAGAGCACAGCTCAGTACATAAATGATAGAAGCCCTCTACATTCAGAGGAGACGAGAGGCCAGCATTAATGACAAAAACAGTCCAGAGTGACATGGTGACTCTGGAGGAGCTGCAGAGATCTGCAGAGAACCTGCTGACAGAAAAACCTTTAGCTGAGCGCTCTATGAATATGGCCCTTATTGAAGAGGGGATAGCAGAACATCAGTGTTGAAAGACAGCTAGAAGGACTTCAGTTTAAAGCTAATTGATAGCCCAAAGGTAGGTGGTAAGTGTCTAACCTGCAGGAGAAACACAGGCATAAAAAAATAATACAGCAAGTGAGTCTGGGAACGTTTGACTGTGAGATATAGTGGTGGCAGGATGGTGCTGTGGGAAAGCAGACAGGGAAGCTTGTCAAAGCTGATAAGATAATAGATAAAGGGCAGTCTCAAAAACCTAAGCAGGTAAAGATTTTAAACTGAGGTGAATTTTCATCCTCTGGGAATTAATGACAAGATTAGAAAAGCGATAATGAAAGATTCTGGACATCCAATTTGTCTCATTTGAAGCCTTTTCCCTTTTATTTTTAGGGGAAAAAATAAATAAATAAATTAAAGAAGAAAATGAAAGGAGAGAGCTGATAAATGTCTTATCTCTAACAAGGAATGTTTGTCAGACCTGTTAAATTTTGAGTCTAATAATCTTCCACTTTAAATGTATACATTGTATTGTGTTACCTTGTTGACTTTGTAAAATATTGAAATGTTGAAAAACCCAAATATGCATAAATCTTTGCTAGGTATTATAATAAGAAAGAGCTAAATCAATAGAAACTTACAATAGATAAATTAATGATTGCAGTGAAACTCAGACCTACTTAAAAAAACAAAAATGGCTGACAAACTGGTTTTTGCACCATTGTAACAGCTGATGGTAGCAGGAAGAAAACATAGAATGTGAATCCTTGCAAAAAAAAAACAATCCACTGGACTATTTCCAAGTGTGAAGACGTTTTGCTTCCCATCCAGGAAGCTTTGGAATGACTATGACCTGGATGACTGAGAATCTTTCCAAGCACATAGAATTTAAATAAAGTGTGGGAAGAGTTTGGCCCAGTGTGAGGCGTCTGTGCTCGGAAGCAAAGGAGGAAGACATTAAATAGGTCAGAGTTAATATAGCGGCTTCACCCAGACAACAAAGCATATGGAAACAGAGCTTAAACACAGCAGAGGAGACCCCTGACCCCAAGCTACACCCAGAGCCGCTGACTTAAACACCAGCAGCCGCACCTCAGAATCTGGATGCTACAAATTGTATCGTTAAGGCAGCCAACTTCAAAAAAATATATATAACCAGATATAAAGCTGAGGAAAATATGTCAAGGTGTTTTTTTGTTGTTTTTTTTTTTACTGGCTTTCAACTTGATTTTACACACTCTTTTGGCTGCAGATTTGAAGGAACAGAAAGATGTTTATTTAAAGCACACACCTTGTGATTTGGAGTAAATGGCGACAGAGCCACTAACCAGACCGGCGTACAGACAGGGCTTTTTATAGACCAGGCTGGTGACCGTGGACTTGTCTGGGGTGAAGAAATGCTGAAGACGTATTTTCTTGGACCGCTGACTGCTCTTATAAACAATGATGCTAAATAGAATGGATGGAAAAGAAATCAAAGCAAAGCAACTTCAATATGCATATTTTTATAAGAAGAAAATAATAGTCATTTTAGGTATATTTAATTATTTAGGAGAATACTTATTGAATTTTTCCATGCATACCTGCCCTCCTCCATGCCTAAACAGACGGTGGGGGTATCACTGGCCTTTGCAGCAGGAACGCCATTATTCTGAGGAAGCTTTTCACTGTCCTCCTTAGGTTGCTCTGCTGGGACGAAGGCCATGCAGAGGATTCGAGATTCCACATTGAAGCATTCTGTCACTTTAGGGCTGGAGTTCTGCATGGCCACAATAGCGATTTGACCCATCTGGTTAGTGCAACTTGCAACCTAAACCAAGTTAAAGAAAGCAAATAAATCATTTGAAAAGCGTTCACTCATACTACACGATCCTGTAAGTTAAATTTCTGTTATTAGTTAAATGGTTGCCAACTTTTTCTAAAGGTATTTGGGAGACGGTCTTACCCAGACACATCCGTGGCCGACAACAGGAGAGTCGGCTGTGCTTTCTGTGTTTATGAAGGGCTCTGGGTTGTGAACAGCACACTCCACCTGACAGAGAACAAATAAAAACAGTGATAAATCCGTGAAAAGGTCACAGATGTTTGGTGTTTCAAAATAATTGTAAAAGAAAAAACCTGACCAGGTTAATTTTTGTTTGTCAGCATTTGTTTATCTATCTCCACTAGGTAAATGCTTGGATCACCTGTTATATACCAAACATGTATTTAAAACTTATTATAGATTATGTATTGTTTTTCATTAAAGGGTTCAGAGGAAGCCCACAGTCATTTTACCTTTTGAGATATATTAGTTTGTTTTTTTAGGTTTTTATGGCACTGATGGCTGGTTTTTTTCGACAGTGGGCTGACAGGAGGGGGAGAGATATTTAGCCACAGGTTGGGTTTGGACCCGGGTCAATCAAGCCCAGAACTTTTCATATTTTTTCTGTTTTCCTTAGATCTTAATATTTTCAATTGTGAAAATATTGTGTGGCTCTGTGTGGAAACTTAAGCCACTGTCACTGAGGTGCCTGAACTTAAAGAGAATCGCTGTGCTATGAGATGTCTCTGAAAAAAAATCACTTAGATCTGATTATACTTTGTGTTTTAAAGCTCTCTGTCCTAAATCCCTGTTAGTTCCAAAACCAACATGGATTCAGGGCATCGGGTCTTTTTTGGGGAATCACAAGAAATTTATAATAAACACAAGAAAAAGTAGCGGGATGATTTTCTTTTGAGCAATTTTACACTCTAAGGGCCGGATTTATCAAGATCCAATTTTGCGTGCAGTAATTTGCGCTCGCACACTGGAATTTTGCGCGAGGGGCTGAACCATGGTTTGCGGGTGATTTAACAAGAGCAATTGCGTAACTGGTGGCAGGTGCAAAACTGTTGGAGACGCCCTATTTAAATGATGGTTTTGCGCATTTTGTGGTTTGCGGCAAAGCAGTTTGTAGTTTGTACAAACTAGTGCATTAAGAAATTTAAATCTTACAGTGACACCCCGAAAAAAAATTAATAAATAAATAAATTATATATATATATATATATATATATATATATATAAAGAAAAAAACTTTGGCAACCTTTATTCCCTAAGGTGGTATGTGGTTGAATTTCTACTAAACTGCAGTAAAAAAAACAACAAAAAACTGGTGTGTTGTATTGGCCTGTAGAAAAATGCA